CCGAAATTGGCTTATACTCCCCTTGTTCCATCTTTGCTTTTCCTTTTTGCCAGAATTACTCAAAGTATTGGTTACCTTCTGGATTCCCTTCACACTTAATACACAGTTGCCATTTGCTTCTAATACCTGCCCGCTTGCTGTTGGTTTACTTGTCATAGTATGACTATTCCTTGATGATATGACACTTTTGGGGCACCATGTCTTAGGTTGTGACTTATATTCGTTTTTTTGTTTCTCTGGCCATGGTCTGGAGCGGTAGAATACGTTAGCCAGGCTTGGCGGAACGACCGCTATAAATAGTCTATCTGAGTCAGTCTCCGCAGGCACTAATGTTCTCACTGTAGGCATGCAAGTTACTGGTAAATTTCCTCCAACCACGTGTGTTTTCTTTCTCCGAAGCTGCCGCCTTATATTCTTGAATAGCTGTCCACCGAGAAGCCAATCTGCTGCTGTTTCTGCTATTGCTGCTTGACCACCAGCATATATTCTTGATCTTGTCGGGCCTCGTTTACCTCGCCAGCTCTCTCTCAGTTTGGACTTAGCCAGTCCTTCTGTCTTTTTGAATAAGCAGTTTGTCTAAAATAGGCAACAATAACATAATTATTTCTTTTGAGGTGCTTGGTTCTTTTATTAGTCCTGTTTACTCCTACCAACCATCTATTTTTGAATAGTTAGCTATGGATAACTTATTAGTTTTTTTACTCGTCAAGAGGGTGGTCAGTGGCAGCCGTGTACGAGTTCCACTTTTTAGCTATTTTTGATTGCCCTTGATACGGTATATTAATCTCTGGTTTGATATAATGAGCCTTAAACACTTAATTAGCAAAAATCGAATTTTATTATGATGTTACATACATCTTAAGAGTGATATAATTCTTGGTCTCACTTCGGTTGAGACTTATACCTGATTTTATTTCGCGATAAGGGAAAAGTTAAATTTTTGTCTAATATATTTACCGTGGCTTTTGAAGCTATTTTGTATCGTGAGGCATACTTATACCGCTGTGGGTAAATTCAACTTTCAGTATTTCGTAAGCTGCAGTCTTACGTTTCAATCATTCGAAATATACATATATGTATAACTTCATTAAGGTGATTAGCACTGTCAGTCTTTACTAAAATAGGAGCGTCTACAAACCGTTTCCAGAAAGGCGATAATGTTTTTTCTGAATGGGCTATACATATTATAAAGAACACGATCGCTTACCCTTTAGCTAAATCTATCTGGCTGCCCAAAAATAAAAATCATTCTCATCCCTTAATTCCTTGCACTTCATTTTTATTTGATGGTTTTTCAGCACTAAATCCGCCAAATAAAGTTAATTTAAGATTCAATTTTATTGGGGCTTGACCTAGAAAGTAACTCACCTGAATAATTTTCTCATGCTTTGTAATAACACAATCTGTTGACTTAGGCAAAAAAATCCTGCGCCTACCCATTGGATCCCTGCATATTCTTGGGTTCTCCATCCGCTGTTGACCTCCTATGCGATTATTTTTCTCTCCATTTGTGTCTACACATACGCTTTTAGGACTGAGTTCGAATGTCAGAGTTCCTTGATGCTGAATCTCACTTAGGTTGGCGCTGCTGAGTTCCTCCTTTACCCGTCTTTGAATCTGATTCTTATTCAGCATCTCAACCTGCCGCTTCACCACGCTTAGATCGACTCGCCTTTTCTCACTTTTTGCACAAATATCATTTCTTCTTTCCCCTTCGTCAGATCCTCCTAGTCTGCGGTAATCCAGGTTAGGAATGTAATATTGATCCTGATGACAACCGCTGTCGCGGCCTTGCCTATTTTCATAATCTATTTTTAATCTCATTTTTTGCGGATCCACTTTGACCGACTCGACTTTATGCATAGTTTTTTCCCATTCATCTGGATAAAACGCAAACACAAACTTTTCTCTTGCCTCGAATCCGATGCTGGGGCTAGTTTGGCTTCCCTCCCCTCCCGATATACGTCTTTGGTATCCAGATGTATCAGCTAACATTCCTCTCTTTATTGCTAGGCGGCTGCATCCCACCCAATTTGTTTCTCCATTGGATGCTGCCCCATCCTCTTCTGCTCTGTCCATACCTGTGTACCATTGCCGTAATGGACGCTCGGTTGTCTGAAACCAGTTCTCCGAATTTGATATGATTAATCCCCCTTGGTAATCACTTTTATTAGGTTTAATATCCTTATCGAATCGTGCCAACACAGAATTCATCCTTGTCCGATGCCATTCGAGTCGAATCTTTAGTTGTGCTAGCTGGCTTTCGATATGTTGGCTTATTGCATTGGCCTGCATCTCACTGTTTTGTGTGGTGATCACGCATCCGGGATTTGGTCCGTCTTTGTATCATCAACCACTTTGCCCAATAATCACTTGAGCATCTATACTCCTGCTATGCCTCCATGATGCGTGATAAATTGAGCCAGTCGATTGAAGTTCTTCGCTTTTGTACTCTTCGTTTACCCTATTATATCATTATAAAATCACAATTGGGGCTCTCCATTGGTGACTTTCATACACCTCTTGTCTATATTAACGATCTCATCTCTAAGCCATCCATTAGCAGACGACCCTATAACACTTTGTCCTATTGTTTTAATCTGTTCGTCGAAGGTTTTAAGTACTTTTCATATAATATCCTGTAGTTGCCATGTGTTTATATGGAGTACCTTTCATACTCTGTCCTTTCTGTTTAGGCTTGCACTTTATCTTTAATTTTACTCTCCCTCGTAATTCCGACATGGTCCTTCCTTTGTTCAGTTTCCCCTTGGCCTGTTATAATTAATTCATAATATTAGAGATAAACATTTTCAGGCTTATAGTAAAACTAATACAGTATTTAGCTACCGTATTTCCCAATGTATAAGCCACCCTTTTTTTCCAAAATTTCCAAGCCCAAAAAGTAGGGGGGTGGCATATATAAAGCAGGTACACGTTTTATGCGTGAGAAATGCATAAAATAATAAAGTAGGAATCAACTGGTTTTTCAGCAGTATGTTGTACTTTTTTGTAAATAATTGTGAGTGATGATACAAAGGGGGTGCTTATACATGGGGAAATACGGTAGTTTGTAGTACAATGATTCACCACCTAAAATATAAAAAGGCTAAATTTATCGAAAAATCATAACTATAAATATCACTAGAAGTTGTTTGACCTCGTTTTTGCAACTATTCTATTGGGAGGAAGACCAAGATGAACGCACCTAGTCCGGAGTCCATAGTATGCATGATAATTTCCAAAGTCGGACCGTGAACGTGGTACATTCCTAGACGTTTTGCCGGCATCTTCAGTAAGCTTTGCCACTCTTAGCAACATACTACAACTGGTCAAAAAGACAAGTGAAGCAGATCCTTTGACCAATTGTTGTATCTTTCCTGCCCTGGGCTAATCACCAATCCTATATCCTCGTATCACGCCTTCACTATCACAATTTCTCAATTGCTTACATAAATGGACTTCCAGTTGGCATGAAAGGGAGTGAAGAAGAGATTCGTTGGTCGATCTCACCAGATGAGGATTTTATGAATCTCGTTGTACTGCAGCCGTCTGGCTTTTATACGATATTCATTTTGACGCAGTCCACAAGACTTCCTCCTTCGTTTTGGGTGAAAATGTGCTGGGCTTTCGTCCATCATATGATTTGTAGTTGTAGTGTGGTGCTAAGAATGGCAAGAGTCACTGACGATGCCGGCGAAACGTATGGCAATGTACCACGTCCACGGTCAGACTTTGTAAATGATCATGCATACAATGGACTTCGAACTAGGTGCGTTTCTCTAAGTCTTCCTACCAATAGAACCAAGTTGTAAAAACAAGGTCAAATAACCTCTATATAACGAAAGGAGACTGCAACCACACAAAAGGCCACACCATCTTGGTCTTCATACCTTCGTTTATGCTTGTATGTTTTCGTTCTGGAACGGTTTTTTCTTCTGTGAAACAATTATACTAGATCAGATTCCTCGAACTCACTTCTTATGTACGTTTCACTTGCATTCGACCAACTATGAAACACCAATTAAACCAGATTGGTTTCTAAGTCATTTTCTTATTTACAACTATCTATTGATATCGTCAGATGACCCGACTTCTACGATTTGATAGAGCCTTAATCATGACAAATTAATTGAATTTTTGATTCAAGTTTGGATTTTAATTTCTCATGGCAATTACGCCTTGCCAGTTTATTTAAAACTACTGAACTGAGTAATCCCAATCCTGAAACGTTTTCTGAAGCCAGTATTATGCCAGCTATATCCTTTGCTAGCAAAACATTTATTATTTTCGGTTTATAAGTAGGTCTTCGAGACTAACAGTTGATCCGATTAAGGAGCTATATTCACCCTATTTCGTTTAGGTGATGAAGGACTGGTAGTTGATAAACCCTATGCAGTCCACTCTGGATGAGGATACTCTGGAAAGCAAGGCTACGATAAATTAAATGGAAGCATGAGGCCTACTCATGACATTGTGGGAGAATTCAAACATTTGCCTTTCATCAACTTAGACGAAATAGGGCGTGCACAGCATTTATTTATTATTACGAGGCTCGTTTTTTGGCCAATTTGTCAAAATATCCTATGGCTCATTGATACGTTGGAGCAAGTCATCAGTCATGACTATTAATCTGCCTCAATCTATAATGTAGCTTCACATATGCTTTGAGCCATACTTTTGGCTGAATCGTGACTTACTTCTTTATCTACATTTGCATTCGCACACCAAAGAGCGTACGCTAAATATGAGTCACTTGTTTCTGGGCTTTATTTTGAGGGTTTTTAGAATTTTTTTCTTCTTATTTTACTGAGATTGTTTTTTAAATCACCTTGTATGATTTATTTTTGCAAGTTATTTTGCTTTTTAACTGTTCTCTTCACTACAGCCTTAGTCTCATTAAACGTAAATAAACTTTGCAACTTTGACTTGCTACTTTATCACTCACGCCCATCATTTCGCCATTTTATTTATGTTTTTTATAGCCTTGACATAAAAATATTATCATCTATCAA